ATTTGAGAGCGACACGGAGCCCATCCGAACCGGCCAACGACCAGAGACTGAATGAAGCACGCAGGTCAAGTAGGCAGGTGCGAAGACCCACCTACCTACGTAACTACGTCACCCCGCCCCTTGGACGATACCAAGAGGGGAGGGGTGTTCCATATTAGCAGGCTTGAAACCCTGCGTTCCCATTGGTCCATTTCAACCGCTACCTGATTGGTCAGCCTGGGCGGTTATGATTGGCTCGCTAAGGGTCTGTTGCTATTGGTTAAAACCAAGCGCAGGAGACTCAAAACAATGTCATTGGCCGCCAAGCCACGGCAAGCTCTATAAAAGAGCCGCCGCAGCTGCTATTTTCTGAGTCTGATCTATCCTATGAATAAAGAGCTGTTGTTTACTGAACCTGAGTCTCATCTCTGAAACCCGACCTTCCAAACTTAACATAAACCTCCTCCAAAATGATCTCTCCCCAATCTGTCTCATCAATGCACTTTAATCTGAATTTCTGAGTTTGATGTCTTAATAAATGTAATATTGTTTCTTGTCTTTTCTAACAGCTTTCTGAAATTCTTTGTTAAGATTTTTATATTATTGACTTTATTTTCTGTTCTCAATAATATTCATGACAAGTTCTGACATCCAGTTTGCTTATCAGTTCTCAAAACAGTCCCAGTAACTTTAGCAGACAGTTTAGGAATCTTACAATATTTAATCTATCTGATCTCAATTGCAGAACTGCGGACAATCAATAGATGATAACAAAGAGGTAGTGAAATCTCTAAAGTCTTTATTTTCATAATCCATTCTGTAGTCTTTAAAGCTAGAGCCTGAGATTCATAATTCACATCAGACACTGTTTCCACAATTAATCTGCAATAAGACTGCCATTTTCTTCATTTTTTAAAAATGAAAGCAAGCCAGCTGCCCTTAGTTCTTCCCCTTTCTCTTTGGTATCAATTTGTTTCTATCTCCAGAATATTACAGAAACTGAATTATGGTATTGTTTAGTTGAAAAGCAGAACTGGCCGGCTATTTAGATACCTGCAAAGTATTAATGGTTGATTCATATAGCTCTAATTATTGTTTATGTTCTTAAGATTAGAAGAGGGAATTTTGTCTGGAAACCTGCTGTCACCACCAAAATTTTCTTATTGTATCTTCTTTCTGAGTGAATTAAGTTAGGGCAGGATTTCTTCAACAGATGGCATAAACAGGATAGACGAGGTCAGCAAATAGCTGTTGATTCCTTATTATAAAGTCCCTTCAATGGTCAACCTCAAAAACTGAAAGGATCTCTGGTGTCATTACTTGCTGCCCTTTGATGTCTCTCATCTCTTGGTTTATAGTGCTCCGGTAGCAGCACAGCCTTGGGTGTTCTGTGTTCTGGTGGTGATATTAAGTTTTGTGGATGCGGGTAGTTATCTGGAGAGTGCTGTTGCCTGTCAGGTCCTGCTGTTGCCTATTAGAAAAGACCTTACCAAAGGATTTTGGGTGAGGGGTGTTATTTCCAATCCAAAAGAATATAGGGTCAGGAGACAATTTGCTTTTTCCAGCCGCCAGAATAGAAATGATAACTAAGGTATAGAGTCCTGCACTAAGATAGGAGAAAGCAGCAAACAATACAGCTCTGCAGATTATTGTTCACATAATAGGTTCATTTCATTTTCAAATGGAAAACATAACTTTCTGAAAGGTTATGGTATTATTTAATTGAATTATGGTATAATCTCCTGATTTGGCTGTACCTACATCAATAGCAGGCTCGCACCAAGATACAGTCTCTTTTGTAAAGACACGTCCCCAAGAAATTTAAGCCGCCATCTCAGCACTGGGATATGGAGGGTATGCAGGTAAAGATTCAACAGCTGATTTAATCACTATCAAGAAACATGCCTAGAAGATATTGTCTTGCATTATCAGGCTAAAATCAGTAATTGTTTTTTTAAAGGACAGTGAGCACAATCAAACTAGAAAAAAATTGCAAGAGTGAGACTAATTTGATATATGCATTGCACTGGGCTATAAAATGGCTTGTTAGTTTGCTATATGAATCTAGGAATTAAAATATAGTGTCAAGTTAGAATCATTTGTAATAATTTTATTCTGTTAATGCACAATTTTTACTTGATACAGGTCCTTCAATCATATACAAAGCAAAATGTACTAATTATGTTGCTTCTTTAAATGAAATAAACTTAATTTTGTAAAGGTAACATTATTTATAGTATTGAATAATGATAATGGATCTTTATAGCAATAAACTAATAATCATATTTTGCTGAATGAATGATTTATATTTTATTGATTGTGGAAAAAACAGTAAGAACAGTACATTTTATATGGGAATTGGGCATAATATTTGTTATATTGTTATACATTTAATTATCTCTTAATTTCATATTTTCTGACACTCCTTCAGAGGTGATAGTAAACTAGTTTGGCTAGGTTTCTAATCTAGCCTTTATTAAAGCAGGCAACATTTCTATATTTTCTAACCCCTTTGTCTAGTTGTTCAATGGCAAGTCTATAGAATATAGAGTGGTCAAACAAATGGCAACTTCAAATCTCAACAAATAAATGCTCTGTCTTACATACTGGCAAAAAAAATCAGAAAATAAAATACAAGCTGAATAGTCAAGATCTTGTTGATGATCCAAGCTCTGTAAAGGACCTTGGAATACTCACCTCTAATGATCTAAGTGCTAGAGCCCACTGTAACTACATAGCCAAAAAGTCATTAAGAGTTATTAACTTAATCCTATGTAGCTTTTTCTCTGGTAATATCACACTACTAACTAGAGCATACAAAACATTTGCTAGACCAATACTCGAATACAGCTCATCGGTCTGGAACCCACATTACGTATCTGTTATTAGCAACAGTTGAGAAAGTCCAGAAATATTTCACAAGAAGAGTTATCCACTCCTCTACTCGTTGTAGAATACCTTATGCCACCAGACTTGAACTTCTAGAGCTAGAAAACCTTGAATTACGCCATCTTCGGTCTGATCTAAGTATGGTATATAAAATCATACATTGCAATGTCCTACCTGTCAATGAATACTTCAGCTTCAACCATAACAACAGAAGAGCACACAATAGATACAAACTCAAGGTTAACCACACCAAACTTGATTGCAGGAAATACAACTTCAGCAACAGAGAGGTCAATGTCTGGAATACTCTACCTGACTCTGTAGTTTCTTCCCCAAACCTCAAAAACTTTAACCTTAGACTGTCTACTATTGACCTCATCCCTAGGGGGCGTGCATAAGCGCACCAACGTGCCTACCGTCCCTGTCCTATTGTTTCTTTTATTTTTCTTATATGTACCCATTTCGTGTATTCATAACTATGTATATACTTATACCTATTATCTTGTAAGCAATTGACAAATCAAATAAATAAATAAATAAAAATAAAATATGAGGCCATCTTGTGGTGAGAATAAAACCATAAGTTTAGAATATAAACCTGAGTTTGCTTCTTATTCTCTGAACTGCCTTTTTTTTTTAGTACAATTAATACCCAAACAATCAATGATTGAAAGCATGAACTTGGACTACCTTTACTTAGTTTCAGAACAGGCATGCAAATAAAAATAACAAAGCAATTCAAAGAATTTCTGGAGACTGATGCTTTTTTAAAAAGCCAATCTTTTATTATTTTTATTTAATCATTTCACAACATTTACAGCCTGCCCCAGCTAAGGAAATTCTGGTAGGAGTAGAACAAAGTGCAAAATAAAATGCACTAAAACTTGGCCTTTGGATAGTTCATTGGACTTCAGAAAGGCTTATAAATTTAAGTTTTTCATCAGGCAATAGACTCTGAAAAATTGGAGTCTGAAGACAGGTATGAATGGGAACCTTTGGCATCTATTAATATATGATTGTATTTTAATATAAATTATTTATCTTGTTCTGTTCTTGTGCTGCCCAGAATCGCAGTGCTCAAGTTGGGCAGCTGTATAAATTCAGTAAATAAATAAATCTACGAATAATGAAAAAAAAATGTCTAAGAATCAAATGCCTATTGGTTCAACAATGCTTTTTTTGAATATGTATACGGGTAATCAATGCTTTCACTGGAAGAATATTTCATTAAATGTGGGTCAATACTGGGGAAAAATTAACCACTACTGAATCTGGCTCACAGTTTATGAACTTCATGAGAGGGAGACCTGCAAAGTTTATCACTAGGAAATTTGGGCAAATTCAGCAACTAATAGAAAATTCAATTTTTAGAAAGTCTAAGTACATTATATTTCCATAAGTTAAAAAAAACATACAGTTTGCCAGTTGAGAAAGTATCCAAGATATTATGATTTGTTGTTGGTTTCTCAACTTTAGCAACTTTAAGATGTGTGAACTTCAAATTTGAATAACAACTGATTCCAATTAGGTTCAAACGTTGCAATCAGCTACAGTGTGATTAGCATCATATATTCACTCAGTTGTTATAGTTTGTATTTATCAATTAGCAATAATGTGAACCCAGCCAGTGACTGTTTACTTGCCCTGCTCCCAATGTCTTGAATTAAGCCTTGCATTTTAGGATGTAATTGCTGCCCCATATTTATTTAGATTACATGTGATATATATTGATACTGGAAGATCTGCATTCAAATCCCTCTTATGTCACGAAATAACGGTCAAATTCTCAGTGTTATCTGAATATCAGTGGGTTGTTGTTATAAGTCAAAGTCAGCCACCTTAAATACTCCCACCATTTTTGGGACTGTAAGAATTCCGACAATCAGTAGATGGTAGGCAAGAATATTTGCGGGGAACGTGGTACAGTAGATGTATTATAGTACATATGGTACATCCATGACTCAAATCGGCGCGACCCTGCAAATCGTTCAGAATATATATATATATGTGCATCCAGTTAATTTACCTGTGAGATGGGGGGGGGGGGAGTAGAGAGAGCGGAGCGGAAAGCTTTCCCGTTGCTAGGTTACCCGAGGAAACATCCTCTTTCCGCCATTGTCCAGCTGGTCAGGATGGTGGGCGGACTACCGGTTAAGAGGCTACACGGCACCGTTAAGGAAGTGTATCAGGGGAAATTTATCGATCGGTTTCCTGAGCTCCCCGCAGTAAGTATTTATATCTTGTGTTCATCCCTAGCGCCATCTCGGTCTTTCCGCTTTGGGATTAGTTGCCGTCCGAGCTCTTCGTTGCCCAAAGGACTCCCACATCTCCTGCCTTTTAGACTAACATTTGTCAGCTTCGGCATCTTGTAAGATTTTCGGAGATTGACCCCCTTTCCCGAGGTCGTTGTAATATGCTAACTTTATAAGAACTTTCTTAAGCCAGAGCAAAATGGGATTGGGAAGAGTTAGTGCCAGACCACAACCTAGACATTTTGTAATTGTACAGTAACAAAAATCCGGGCCAGTGTTAGATGGTCTTCTGGGATGGGACCCTCCAAACCCTATCAGGACCTAGTGAAAGTAAAATGAATGCTGTCTAATCCATATAAGGAAATTACCTAGCTAAACTCTGAAACGAGTTCATTTTCTTTCCTATGTCTTTTACCTGTGTAGTTTCACTTGTTCACTTTTTTGCAGGCTGGAAAGTTGATACCAATTGGAGAAACTGCTGCTACTTGTCTTACTGAAATCCTACCCAGAGTGAGTATTTTAATTCTTCATTCTATTATCTTTCCATTTAACCACCTTGCATGTGCGTGTATGTGTGTGCATGTGTGTATGTGTGTGTGTATTGATACAGATATATCAGACTCACTCTTGTAGGCATCACAACCCAAAGGTCCAATAGAAGAGAATACATGTAACTCAGGGTTGAACTATGGATCCTTATTGTTCTTTGAACTTGGTTGTTCGCTTTCAGATATTTCATTGCCTAACCATGTAACATCATAATTGTGAGTGTGGAGTTTATTTACTCCCTGTTTATATAGAGCATCTTGCCCTGCCAATATTGGTGGGGGTGTGGTTCTCCTTGGTAATTCTTTGATTGTTTTATGCTTGGCTTTTTACTGCGTATCTGGATTTTGGCTGCTGAAGAGAATGTGTTTTGGTCTTTTTGTTTCCTTCTTAGTTTTTTTTTATTTTTTATTTTGAATTGTATGCAAATTTGGTTATTTCTATGTTTCAGTTCATGTCTAACCAAAAGTTTTTAATACATCTATGTGTATTCTAAACACATACAGTCTACTTATATGTGTTTATTGATAGCTGACACAAAAGTTCCAGTTTTATCAAACAACCCAGACAATTGTGGAGTCCTTGTTACTCTCTGAGCTTGGCTATTATTGGTGTCAAATTGTAATTTTGTTGTATTAAACTGTAATTTTTATTTTTTTTAGAAGTAAGACTTCAATCATGCAAAGGGAATCCTAAAGGTGCTTTTAAAAACATGTATACATGTGAAAAAAGTGGTTCATAAAAAAAGTAGTTCTGATGGAATGTTTAGGTTCAGAGTAGCCACTCCACATATTTAAGCTGTTTTTTAAATGATTATTACCAATGGTTCAGTTACATTACCCTCTGAGAAAACAATTAGAGAATAGCTTCATATACTTAAAAATAGTGTGCTATGTTGTTTAATACTGTAATGAAAAATTACAAAGATATCTCTTCAGAACAATCAAGATATATAAGACTTATGGATTTTAAAAGATACTTCTGTTTTCAATTGCTAGCAGTTGAGATCCTTTGTAGAGTAACAATCAGTGAGAATATTAATAATATTACAGACATTACTTCTGTTTGAAATGTTTTAATGTAATTAGGCTGGTTGATAATTATCAGTTGTGGCTTACATTCCTGGAGTACACCAGTTTGGGAATGACTATTAAAGGACATTAATGTCATATCTACAGTATTTCTCTTTACCCTCCTTTCCAATAATTATATCTTTTGATGAACTATACTATAAAATTTGACAAATTAGTGATATATTATCTAATTCTAATAAATGTGTTATTACTCTAAGGCAGGGGTCTTCAAACTTGACAGCTTTAAGACTTGTGGACTTCAACTCTCAGAATTCCTCCTGCAGTCATGTTAGCTCAGGAATTCTGGGAGTTGAAGCAGGGGTGGATATCTACCGGTTCTGTCCACCTCTGTAGAACCGGTTGCTCCGAAGAGCAGCAGACATAGAACCGGTTCTATGTCTGCTGCTGTTGTGGCCCACCCATCCTGCCCGGGCTCTTACCTGACCTTTATTTCTTGCTTTTTCAAGTGCAGCTGCTTTCCATGACAGAGCTGCAGTTGAAAAAGCAGGAAAAAAGGGCTTTCCAACTGCTGCGCACTTGCACACAGCACTGCTCAGCTGTCCGGGCAGCTCAGCAGGTTGTAAATTACACTCGCAAAACATGCACATGCGATGCTAATAGACAGAACCGGTAGTTATACCAGTCGGATCCCATCCCTGAGTTGAAATCCAAAAGTCTTAAACTTGCCAAGTTTGAAGACCCTTGCTCTAAGGCTTTGAGTATATACAGGTGGTCCTTGACTTAGACCAGTTCATTCAGTGACTGTCTGAAGCTACAATGGCAGTGAAAAAAGTGACATGACCATTTTTCACACTTACAAACATTGCAGCATCTAAATGGTCACATGATTTACATTCAGATGCTGGAGAACTGGTTCATATTTATGACGGTTACAATGTCCCGGGGTCTCTGTGATCATCTTTTGCGACATTATGACAAGCAAAGTCAATGGAGAAGTCAGATTAACTTAACAACTCAGTGATTCACTTTATAAATGTGGCAAGAAAAGTTGTAAAAAGGGGCAAAACTCACTTAACATATTTCTCAGTAACATAAATTCTGGGCTTACTTGTGGTCATACATCGAGGCCTACCTGTATTAATGAACTAATGCAGTTAAGACACATCTAATTTTTAAATAAAGATATTTATAAGAATGTACACTTTAAAATGGTTTTCATGTTGTCTTATAGCCAATTACGCCACCTGTTGTAAAAAAGTTTCGAAACACCAGCAATCCTCCTACAGGTAAAGAAAGAGTATTTTATGGCCGAGCAAATGATCCTGATATTGCATCATATTTGACTCATGGAATAACAACCATCATTTCAGAGAATGTAAGAATATGCATATCTTTTCTTTTTTTCTAAACAAAGAAGCCATACTTTATTTTATTGATGAGAAACAGAATCTTGATTAGTTCTGAATAAGGAAAACTTGATGGACGTGTTGAAATATGATTTCCTGTGCAAAATTATAACTGGTATTTCCATAACTTATATCAGTCAAATCTCTGCAATATAAGTGTGATAAATAGTCTTGTCCTACCTTGATTATTGAAATGATTTCTCTACTAAGCAACAAAATGAACATCAAGAAAAATAAGATTAATAGAAAGAAGAGCAATAAGCTAGGGAGAACCATAAACTTGTAAACCTGTAGAATTGGAAGGAACCACTTAGATTTTACTTCTTCATCAATACAAATAAAAGTGGTCCCAACAAGTGGCTGTCAATACTTCAGATAAACAGATTAACAGAGTTGGAAGGGATCTCGCAGGTCATCTAGTCCAACCGTCCCTAGCAGGAGACTCTACACTATTTTTGACAGATGGCAGTCCAGTTCTTCTTGAAAGCCTCCAGTGATGAAACTCCCACAACTTCTGAAGGCAAGCTTTCTCATTGGTTGATTGTTCTCACTGTCAGAAAATTTCACCTTATTTCTAGGTTGAATCTCTCCTTGTATACTTCACATGAATACATCTAGTAAACAAAGCCCATGATACCTTTTTACCAGCTAGGTTCACTGTTTTTACTGTCAAAAAGTTTTCCCTAAAATTTATTTAGAATTTGTAGTCCTGTAACTTATATCATTATTACCCTGGGATGGCAAAGAAGGTTATTATTTTGTTTTGACACTTCTTCGGGTATTTATATTATTTTTCCCTATTTTTAACTGCCTTTTTAAAAATCTAAAATACCCAGGTAAGTCAGTTTAGTTTCCTGTTCCCTGATCATTCTTATTAACTTTTTTCTGTATGTATTCCAGTTTATATAAATCATTTTAATGAAGGATAGTCTTAAAGTATCATTCACTTGGTCCCCAATGTGTTTGGAACACATTTTTTTTTAAATCATCTATAAGGTTGTAGTGTCCATAACAAAGATATCAGTACTATATATTTTTTGTCACCAAAGACAATCTTTCAGGGACTTACAATAGTAGCTCTTTGTAAAACTGAGTATGGTAGAGTCACCCACCGCTTGTAATAATTTTTGAAAAACGAAGGATTAGTTACACCTTAAATGATATTACATGATTTGTAATAGATGTATTTTAATGGTAACCAGTGTGTCTATGAAATTTTGATTGTTTCATATTTAATTATATTTAAATTGAATGTTTTGAGTAATGTATAACAAACATAAGAAATGATGAACAAATAGAAGAAATTCCAAGATGTTAGTTTACACAACAATAATAGTATCTTCAAAAAAAAATCATTCATACTTTTTTCCTGTTCTAAATCAAATTAATAGCTGATGTTGTGCCATAGTGTTAATAAAATTAATATGATAGCATAACAGAAGGTATTTCAGCACTAATATATTTTATATGGGATAAAACTTCTTCAGGCATCATCATTAGTTAATCCACCTCCTAAAACATATTTCCAACAAAAAATTAAAGAAAAGAAAGAATCTGTCTACTTAAGTAACTGTCAGGCTCCTCTTGGAAAATCTCATGATCAGTCTCTACGAATGCCTAAAGGATTGGATGTGAATAATACTCGATTTGGAACAACAGTCAAACAAGGTAGGAAAATTAGTAAGAAAATACAGTGTCACTTCATGCTATAATTTAACATGGAATTGAATAATTTATTTATTTGTTTTATCTCATCTTTATTATTTTTTATAAATAACTCAATATAATAAACATATATATTACTTCTTTCTCTTCCAATTTTCCCCACAACAACCGTATGAACTGCCTGAGAAAAAGTGACTAACCCAAAGTCACCCAACTAGGTTTCATGCCTAAGGCAAATTAGCTCATACCAAAACAATATTCTGAGATAAACTCTGAACATCAAAATTAAGCATCTGATTTGCTGTTGTTAGCTTCAGATGTATTTACAGTTAAGTTGGATTGATCTATCATGCTATCCCATAATTTATTAACCCTGATTTTTTGAACAAATCTTAATGATATAGTTCATGCACAATGTTGATCCATAAACAATGATTTATAAATTACATTGGATAGGTATACCCATCTTATTAAACCAAGCCCCCCAAAGCATCTTATTTTTAGCATATTCAGTAAACCCATCTATAGAGCTGATTACTAAATGATACTCAGCCTTTCATGTATTTTAAGTTGCTCCAATCCTGCTGCATCCACCAAATTTGGAGAAAATCATATAAGAGATATTTGATAGACCTTCCTCTTGTATATTGTGATCCCTCCAGCCCCCCCCCCCCCAAAGTTTCCTCTGAATGTCTTTTGATGTAATGAATCTTCCAACTAAATCCCAGTAAGGTTCTGTTAAAAGCCAGGATAATTTTCAGCCTAATCCATTTCACATATGTTTGAATCAAAACAACACAGTTATTGTAGCCAGGTCTCATTGGACCTGTTCAATTCAGGTAAAGAAATTTTCAGTATCCTTATCTCTTTTTTTCTGATGGACTTTTGGAAGAATAACCATATTCTTCCTGATGAAAGAATAAATATATAAATACCTCTGTCAGTGATCACTAGATAGAAAATGTTGAGTATTATGCATGGTTTATGCATGGTGGTTGCTTTTATCTGATCTAAATCTACCAAAGAACGAGCACTGATTTCAGACAATTTTTTAAACAACTATTTTCAAATGAATGAAAGTAAATCAACAGAGGAAATAATTATATTTTTATACATTTTTATACAAGAAACCAACCAAATATTGATATGAACAAATTTGAGAACATGAGTCAAGAAAAATTCTAGAAACTGTTCCTGCTATAATAATTGTTGGTGTGTTTGTTGATTAACAGCACACCATCCTCATTTCATTCTTTGTATTCAGGATTTTACTAAAATGTATTCCAAAAAGTTTTAATTTATAAAACTGATTCATACAGACATATCATATTTATTTATTTATTTATTGAATTTATATTGCTTCCTATTCACCCATGGTGACTCGAGGCGGCTTACAGAATGTAAAACAATAAAAACTAACAAAAAGAATCAAATAAATTAATAAAGTACAATATAACAAAATCACCCCCAAACTCCCATCCCCCGCCCCGAGGACAGCAGATCACACCAGCCATTTAATGGGATCCATCCCGCTCTGGGTTCCCCAAGCCTGCTCGCAGAACTAGGTCTTCAGTGCCTTCTGGAAGAGTATTAGAGGGGGGCATTCTAATCGGGGGGAATGATGTTCCAGAGGGAGGGAGCCACCACAGAGAATGCCCTTCTGAGTCCCACCAGGTGTCTCTCCCTCAGGGTTGGGACCTGTGACATTCCCTGCCTCCCTGCTCTAATGGGTCAGATAACCTGATCCCAAGCCATGAAGAGCTTTAATGTGACAACCAGCACCTTGAATTGCACCTGGAAGCAAATTGGCAACCAATGCAGTTCTCACAAGTGAGGTGATACATGTGCACACCAGGGTCTGCACAAAATCATGCAGGCTGCTGCATTTTGCACAAACCGGAGCTTCCAGAATGCTCTTTAAGGGTAGCCCCATATTGAGTGTGTTGCATTAGTCAGGACTATTGCTGTATTGCTATTATTCAATTATAAATATATTTCATGCATGCATGGCTACACACAGTATGGTTTACTATAGTTATACAAATAAAAAACCCTGGAACTAAATATATGAACATTTATGATTTATATTAGATTCTTTCATTACATTTATTGACTGATTTTCAGAGATATCTGCTGCAGACATTGTAAATCCCCGAAAAACATTTGATGAAGTCCAAAAGGAAGCACAGGAGGGACATGACTTATATGTTTCAACACACAATGATTATTATGTTGGTGAGTAAAAAGGACAACTAAATATTGTGAAAAGCTCTAATTGTATATGATCATAGTTTGTTTAGCAAAGACATGTTTATTTTCCACTTTATAATAAGGAATAAAATTAAATTTTCTCTTGAAATGTATTTTGAAGATTTGGTTAAATTGATAGTAATATATTTGATAAAGGGAAACAAAATGGTCATAGAAATAGTAATGCATACCTAACAGATAACAGATAATCAGAGTTGGAAGGGATCTTGTAGGTCATCTAGTCCAACCCATCGCCCAAGTGGGAGACCCTACACCATTTCTGACAGATAGCAGTCCAATCTTTTCTTGAAAATCTCAAGCGATGGCGCTCCCACAACTTCTGAGGGCAAGGTGTTCCGTTGGTTGATTGTTCTCACTGTCAGAAAGTTTCTCCTTATATCCAGGTTAAATCTTTCCTTGTTTAGTTTCCATCCATTATTCCTTGTCTGGCCTATAGGCACTTTAGAAAATAGCTTGACCCTTTTCTCTCCGTGGCAGCCCCTCAAATATTGGAAGATTGCTGTCGTGTCTTCCCTGGCCCTTCTCTTTAATAGACTAGCCAAGCCCAGTTCCTATAATCGTTCTTCATATGTTTTAGTGTCCAGTCCCCTAATCATGCTGATTGCTCTTCTCTGTACTTTTTCTAGAGTCTCAACATCTTTTTTGTAATGTGGTGAACAAAACTGGATGCAGTACTCTAGGTGTGGTCTTACTAAGGCTTTATAGAGTGGTATTAGTACCTCCCTTGATCTTGACTGTATCCCTCTGTTAATACAACTCAGGATTGCATTAGCTTTTTTGGTTGCTGCTGCTACACATTGCTGACTCATATTTAGCTGGTTGTCCACTAAGACTCCAAGATCCCTCTAACAGTTACTGCTATTGAGCCTGGTTTCACCCAGTCTATATGTGTACTTTTGGTTTTTCTTGCCTAAGTGTAGGACTTTACTTTTCTCTACATTGAATTTCATTTTGTTAGATATGGCCCAGTGTTCTAGTCTGTCAAGATCCATCTGGATCTTGAGCCTATCTTCTTGGGTGTTAGCTATTCCTGCCAGCTTAGTATCATTTGCAAATTTGGGAAGTTCCCCTTCTATTCCCTCATCTAAGTTGTTAATGAAGATATTGAAGAGTACTGGGCTTAAGATGAAACCTTGTGGCACCCCACTGCTTACTTCTGTCCATGTAGACTTAGACCCATTAAGGACTACTCATTGAGTACGGTTTGTCAGCCAGTTGCGAGTCCATCTAGTGGTGGTGCTATCTATTCCCCATTTTTCTGGCTTACTAAGAAGTAGGTTGTGGTCTACTTTGTCTGATGCCTTGCTGAAATCTAAATATATTATGTTCACAGTATTTTGTGGTCTACTAATTTAATCACTATGTTGAAGAATGAAAGATTGGTTTTGCATGAGCTCTAATAGTTCTTTATAGGAGGTTCAATTATGGGTAACCCCCAACTTATAACCATTTGTTTAGCAACCATTTAAATTTATGGGTGCTGAAAAAAATGGACTTACCATCTTTGCCTGGAGTTATGGCTGCTGCAATGCTCCTTTGATATGTTTGGCAACTTACCCACATTTACGACTGCAGGGATACTTCTCAGGTCTCGTGAGAAAAGATATGCTTTTTGTGGAAGAGCAGGGGTTCCATTCTGGTGGTGCTTTTTATGACATCATTCTCCGAATCATGTGTACCATTCCTTTCTTAATCCATGTGCCCATTTTCGTGAGACTAGGAAAGACAGAAGTGTTCCAAAGGATTATAAGAATGACTCTTGTGGCTTGAGGAAGTAATGGGATGTGCCACTTGGAAAAAAGTTGAGCTTCTAAAAACCAATGACGTGGGGCTTGAGGTGGCATTTCTCAATGGCAGTGGTATTGCTGTAATTGAAATACAGGTCTGGGGGCAATGGTAGCTGGTTGAGACTGGTGAAGAGGAAGAGAAAAGTAAAGTTTTATACCTAGGCAAGAAAAACCAAATGTACAAGTACAGATTAGGTGAAAACTTGGTTTCAAAAATAGTAATTGTGAGAGGGATCCTGGAGTCCTAATTGACTATTATTTAAATATGAGACAGCAGTTTGTGGCAGCAGCCAGAAGAATCAATGGAATCCTTGGATGCATAAACCAAGAGAGAATAGAGTCGAGATCATGTGAAGTATTAGTACTGCTTTATAAAACCTTAGTAAGACAACGGCTGTAATATTGCATCCAGGTTTGGTCATTTCACTATAAAAAAGATGCTGAGACTTGGAAAGAGTGCAGAGAAGAGCAAGTAAGATAATTACCAGCCTCAAGACTAAAACATGAAGAATGGTTTCAAGAATTGGGTATGGGTAGTCTAGAGAAAAGAAAGACTGGGGGTGACATGATAGCAGTGTTCTAAGAATTGGGAGGCTATACAAAGAAGAGTGGGGGCACCCTGTTTTCCAAAGCATCAGAAGGCAAGACAAGAAACAGTGGATGAAAATTGATCAAGGAGAGACGCAACCTGGAATTAAGGAGAAGCATCCTAAAAATGAGAACAATTAACTAGTGGAATGGCTTGCCTTCAGAAATTAGAGGTACTTCATCACTGCAGGATTTTAAGAAGACACTGGACAGCCACTTGTCTGAAAAGGTAAAGGGTCTCCTGCTTGAGCAGGGGGTTGGTATAGAACAGCGGTCGCCAACCAGTAAGGTGCAGCTCACTGATGGGCCGTGAGAAAATTTTGGTGTGCCACAGAGAAATCTCCCCCCCAGAACACCCCCCAAAGCAATTAATCCAGGCTGCGCAGAAACACAAGGCTGCGCTGCCCACATGGTCCGCAGGAACCCTCCCTGCCCACTCCTTACCCGGCAAACTTGCCTGCTAAATTGATATTTTTCTTTTTTCCTACCATCATCTGTTCTGCTGTGCTGGGAGATTTAGATTAGCTAGGAAGCAGGAAATGATTGGATTTCTTGCTTTCTAGCTAGTTTTTAGATCTTCAGCTCTGCTTTTAAGCACAGCCGAAACTCCCCTAGGACTGAAGGTGCTATTATTCAGTGCAGACTCAGGCAAGCAAATTTGAGAGACTGAGCTAGCCGATGGCAGATAGATAGATCACTGAATGATTCCATGAGCAGCTCAATCTGCCTGCCTGTTTTGCCTGATTTTGGATAAAAGTTGCTCTTTAAAAAAAAAAAAATCAATATTTACATACATGGTGTGTTGTGAGTTAATTTTGTGAGTTTGCTTGCTAGCAAACTTTATGAGTTTGCTTGCAAGCAAATTTTATGTGACAGACTGAATTAGCCAATGGCAGAAAGATAGATTTCTGAATGAATCTGTGATGCTGTGAGAAACTCAATCTGCCTGACTACTTTGCCTGGTTTTGGGTAAAAGTTGCTCTTTTTTAATAAAAAAATTCAATACTTATATAAATATTTATAATATTTACATACAAGCCATGCCCAGCCAGTCACATGACCACCAAGCCACACCCACAAATTAGGCCTTGTCCACAGAACCGGTTAGTAGTCCCTGGGATTTAAAATTATGAGTTTGGTGGTCCCTGAGGTCCAAAAGGTTGGTGACCCCTGGGCTAGAAGACCTCCAAGGTCTTTTCCAAATCTATTATTCTGTATTATTTTGTAAGATCCCAGGCTTGTACTTAAGCCCCAGCCCCAAGTACTACTGTGCAATGCAGCTAAAAGGACATAGATTGGGAAGGGGTGATGGGGGGGAAATTGCAGCCACTCTACACTTCTGGGCTAGATGGGTGGCATTGCAGCATCCCCCAGATAATAAGCTACCTCCCCCAGGTTTCCCAAGACCTCACTGTGGGACCCAGCATTCCTTATCTGGGACTCCTGCTTAATGACCTGTAATTCATTAACTGGCATGCCAGGATTGTGACCGTTAAGCAATGCTGTCACATGGCATCTCTCTTTATTACTGCATCACCTAGTGATTAAAATTATGATTTCAATTGTGGCATAAGTCAAGGACTACCTATAAGCCTTTAGATGAATACTGATAATATGAGCTTATTAAATTGGAATATAGAGCATGTTTAAAATTATTTCCTAGCATAATTTTCTCTTCTAAGGTTATAACTTCTGTCAAGTTTCAGATAATTAGGCTCAATGGTTTTGTTATTGAACAATAACCGAATGAAAGTTAATGAAAAATGCTGCCAGATAAGTGGCTCAAGTAAAATGTAGCTTTATGCTATTTTTAAAGTTTTTTTAAATTAATAAAATAACATTTAATAAAACAAGTTGATTCCTTAATTTTCTTTATTTTTTTGTGTCATCATAGATTTTGCATTACTCTAATGTATGAAAAAGTTTAAGTGTTGGAAGCTTTATGACAATCTGAGTTTGAGATTCCAAGCTTGAGGTCACTTTATCTTAAAATAATTCTATGAGCTAGGTCAGGGGTCTGCAACCTTAAACGCCCAAAGAGCCATTTGGACCTGTTTCCCACAGAAAAGAAGCCACTAGAAGCCACAAAACCTGTGTGGGGATGGCCAACTCAACGTCACTCCCACCCAGTCACATGACACCCCCACCCAGTGATGCCTACCCAGGTTTTGTGGCTCCTGGTGTTTTCTGTGGGAAATGTTTTCTGTGGCTCCCGGTGTTTTCTGTTTTTTTCTCTTTTTCCTCTCCCCCTCCCTCCCTCTCTCTTTCTTTTTCTTTCTTTATCCTTCTCCTCTCTCAATTGTTTCCCTCTCTTTTCCATCTCTCTCATTCTCTTCCTCCAGCTCTCTCATTTTTTTCTCCCTCTCTCTCCCCCTTCTCTCTCTCTCTCTTATTTGTTTCTCTCTTTTTCCTCTCTCATTCTCTCCCTCCATCATTTTCTCATTTCTTTTTCTCCCCTTTTCTCTCTTATTTGTCTCTCTCTCCCACCCTCTCCACCTGTCTTTCTGTTTCTCTCTCCCCTCCATATCTCTCTGTCTTCCCCTCTCCCTATCTTCCTCCCTCTCTCTCCCTGTCTCTCTTCCCTCTTTGTGTCTCTATGTCTGTGTGTGTGTGTGTGTGTGTGTGTGTGTGTGTGTGTGTGCATGCACGCGTCTGTCTGTCTGTATGCATGTATGTATGTCTTCTCTTTCTGTTGGAAAGCTGACACTGGGCCAAGCTGGTGAGCTCTCCTTGGGGCTCTTTGCTACTCATTTTCTTTTTTCTTAGCAACTTTTTGGAAATCCGGGTGGCTGAGGGACAAGGGCAAGCCATGGTGGAGGCTTCCCTTTGGGCAACCCTTCTTCTCCCCCTCCCCCTCCTTCTGCTCTTGCGATCCCCTGGCTGGCTGTGTTGGGGGGAGGGTACACGTAAGCAGGAAAACCCTCCTTCAAGTGAGCAGCCGCCTGCCCCATGTGCGCCTTTGCTCTGCTTTGGCTGAGCCCGGCTGCTTGCTTCTCTCCGTTCATGCGCACCCTCCTGGCCCCTCCTGATATCTTCAGATATGATTAAAATATCCATTGGGTGATGATAGTGGGAATCTAAAATATTAAGAGATCTCTAGGTTCAGTGAATAACTAAATAAGAGTAGTGTTAGGGTTTGTTTTTATATTATACATGCTTAAAGAAAATCTCACTTGACTTCATTCAAAGTTAGTATTTTTGAAGCCAAATCATTATCTTCCCCCCTATTTAGTCTGCCTCTTTTAAAACCTTTATTTTATTTAAGCTTACAACTCATCTTTCAATGCTATTGTTGTTTGATTAATACACTCTAAACCAGGGGTCACCAATCTTTTGGATCTCAGGGACCACCAAACTCATAATTTTAAATCTCGCAGACCACTGACATGAATTTTGACTGACGGTGGCTTGCTGACATTGGTGGGAAAGTCAGTCCCATATTCTAGAGCTGCAGGAGTCACAGGACTGGCCCTTTGGTCATCTCGGAGCAGCTGCTTCTCCACCTGGGTGCACCAGCCGGCAATGTACTGGAGGAGCTGCTGCAGGATGACCAGTCCTGTGACTACTGCAACTCTGGAATATGGGACTGACTTTCCCACCAATGTCAGCAAGCTACCCCAGGGCAGATTTCTCTCCCCCGCTGTTGGTCTTACCTTCCAGTTCCAGCTCACGTGGCTCTACTCAAGGTAAGGTTTGTGGTCAGACAAAGGGTGGGGGCCAGTAGGTGGGCAGGCTATGTGGGCAACACAGCCTTGTATTCCCACACAGCCTGGATTAATAGCTTTGGGAAGTGCTTTGGGGGGGACATTTCTCTGCAGACCACCAAAATTTTCTCACAGACCACCAGTGGTCCCTGGCCCACTGGTTGGTGACCACTGCTTTAAACAGTGGTGGGATTCAAAATGTTTTACTACCAGTTCTGTGGGCATAGCTTGGTGGGCATGGTGTGGTTTGGTGGGCATGGTCGGCATGGCTTGGTGGGCGTGGCTTTGTGAGTATGGCAGGGGAAGGATACTACAAAATTTCCATTCCCTCCCCACCCCACTCACCTGCTTTCCAGCTCCATTCTCCTGTGCAGGGCAATAAAAGAAGACCCAGCCAACGAGCTGGGACTCAGGAGGTAGAGCATAGATGGAGGTAGGGCCAGTCAGAGGTGGTATTTGCAGGTTCTCTAAACTACTCAAAATTTCTGCTACCAGTTGTCCAGAACTGGTCAGAACCTGCTGAATACCACCTCTGACTCTAAAGATTGCTTTCAACATATATTTTATTCTAATTTATGTCTTATTGGATTGCAATTTGGTAACATGGCCAGAAAACATTGTCTTCTCTGGTGTATTTAAAATGTTCTTGTTTTGCTAACAACAGAAAAATGAAAGCATTTTTTTCTTTTGACTTGTTCCTACACTCCTACATGACTGGGGGTGGGGGGGGGGAGGTGTTTGTAATGGCATTTTCTCATAGTATGTTTGAAAGACCCCTTAAAATAATTTGGAACTAATTTGAGCCAAAATATTTACAATTATTTTTGTTAATAGAATAAAACACTTTTGTGCAAAACAGATGAAGCTGGTAAGGTTAGAATCTCATTTCAAAAAACTCTAATTTGTAAACAAGTAATAGCAGAATTTTTCAGAATTGACGAATGAGTGGCTATATGGCTGTTAATTTAAAAAGATGGGAGGGGAAGATCCCAAGTTACATTTAAGGACTAATATTTAAAGGGTTCCAAAATGCACTGAAGCAGACAGTTCCCTTAGACCTAAAACTTCCTAATTCTCTGGAATAAACCCTTTGCATCTATCATGTTACTTGAGAATGCTAAACAGGGAGAGGGCTTATTAACCTAGCAGTTCAAAAGCCTTGACAATAAATGACCATGTCCCATTTTCTTCAGGAGAGGCAGTGAATAGAAAATATAATCCATCCACATTCAACAGATTTAATCTTTATGGTAAAGAAACACCACATTTTAATGATGGAAGGAATATTAGTAGAACTTTACATTGGTTACATGATCTGCAGATGTAAGTTATGTTTTGAATTCATAACTTTTGTATTATCAGTTAAGTTATAGTGTCAGGGGTCTAAATATTATTAATCATAAGCCTGATTAATCCCCATGAATTATTTTTTCTTTTGGTCACATTAAAAGTATAGTTTGAAATGTGGGGGTCATATCAAACACATTTGAGGATTTCGGGTGCTACTCTAGGGTCCTTAGTTGTGAATCTGCTTTATAGAAATAGTTAAGTATTTTTTTCTTGCTCTTTTTAATTGTCAGCCCTTTTATATTTGTTTAAGAGATAAAAATGTACACATTCAGAAATACTTTAATATGAGTTTTGTATGATAATTGGTACTTCTCAGTTTCAGGAGATTCTGATTAATTGTGTTAGAGGTCCAGTGATTTAAAATGCTTTGACTATCAAGATCCTATTTTAATCCTGTCTCCTTTTTTGTTACACAAAATATTCATCTCTATGTTCTTTGCTTATATGGTCTGATAAATGAATAGTTAAACTGGCAGAAGGAGCTTAATACAACAAAATGAAACACATACTTTAAGAGGTTGCAGTACTTTATTCTCTAGTTGACTTGATCCAGTTTGTTTGCTGACTTTGTCTAACCCTTTTCCCTAATTACAATGTTACTAAAATGGCTTTAAATCAAGTATATTTAACTGTGTTGGTATAGCATTTGGTATTGCAAGATTTTGAAAATTAACTCAAAATTTGAATAGTACTTGCCATCTGGTTGTGGCATTACAAAACTTGTTGATAATGTGATTTGAAGAGAGATGTCAACAATTATTTTTCCCCCACATAGGACTCATTAAAAATCCTTCTTCTTTGGTATTCTGATTTAGGCATTTTTCCTCTATTCTTCTAAGTTCTTTTTTCTTTTTAATTTCTACAGGAAGAAATCAGCAAAAATTGTGTCTAAAATAAGTGATGATTTCAAGGAAAAGTTTCAGCCTCAGATTGGAAAAGTTCATGATCCGTAAGTCACCTAAGAGAATTCTACATTAAGATCTTCTAAAATTGATTATTCCTAAGAACTTATTCACAAATTGGTTCAATAGCTCTTTGGGGCTAGATATATCTTGGCAAACTCAGATTGCTATATTCATAATCATATAGCACACCACATTGCCTTATCTCAGCTTGGTTCTTATTCTGAGATTTTTTTCAGGTAGAGACCTTACTTTTTCTTGTTCCTCTGTTATGCATGCTTGTCCTGGTTCCATGATGCCAATAGCAATAATTTGCTGCAGAGCATTAAAAATTGTAAATTTATCTGAAGCAGTTAGGCAATAACAACAACCTGCTATACCTCATCTACAGCCGTATTCTTTTGTAGACAATTTGCTTTCTCTTGGACAAACAAGACTTAATTCAGGAAAATGTCTCAAACTCTGGTATACTATACCCAAATAATCATTCCACAGGCATGGAGAACAGTACCTTAGACCCGAACAAAGATGAATACCATATATATCATCTGCCATCATCAGGCTTCTGCGTTGGACTAGTGAGGAATACTAGGATACTAGGATACTACACAGGCATCACATCAAGACTGCCTTTAAAACAGACAGAAAAATAGCAGCCATCCTTAGAAACCCCAAAGATAAAATTGACCTGGAAAACCAAGGCATATATGAAGTCCCCTGTGCATCATGCCCGGCCACATACATTGGACAGATCAATAGAAGAATAAGTACCCGCCTGGATGAACACAAAAATGCAATCAAAAAGCTGGAACACACTTCCTCACTAGTCCAACACATGAAAGCCACAGGTCATAGCATCAACTTCAATGGCACCAAAACCCTAGCCACTATAGAAAACCCCAGCCACAGAATTATCAGAGAAGCCATAGAGATTGAAAAAAGACCTGAAAGCATGAATAGAAGAGATGACTCCACCAGACTGTCAATTATCTGGAAGCCTGCACTCACAAACAAAAAAATATCCACACCACAAGCCAGGCAAACACCTGGGTACAAACAGATCCCCCCCGATACCTCCAGCTCAAACACACCCCAACCAGGCACCCAGATGAAACCTAGCTTCCTAACAAATGATAGCCATCCATTTACTCAGAGCCAAGCTGCACTAAAAGCCTCCAATACAGGAACATAATGTTGCCAGCCAATCAAGACACAAAAAGAGCCACAAAACAGACAGAAAATATTAGAAACACCAATCAAGCAGAACACAGCAAACTCCAAGACCAATAAACGGACCAAGACTCCCAACCAATCAGGATGAAGAAAAAACCATTCTGGCACAGCAGTAGGCTAGCCCCAAATTTAAAACAGAAACGGCTGTGAAAGTCTGACTCACAGATGAACACTATACAGAAGCCTGATGATGGCAGATGAGATTCTGCCGAAACGTTGCTACAATCTTAAAAGCACGACTACAATGACGTGGGAAAATACCCGAACAATGCCCTATATATATATAGGGCATTGTTCGGGTATTTTCCCACGTCATTGTAGTCGTGTTTTTAAGATTGTAGATTATATATATACACATACATACATACATACATACATACACACACACACACATACATACATACATACATACACACACACACACACACATACATACACACGTACCCATTGTACTATTCTCTGTTCGGGTAAACAATTTTATGCAAAATACTGAAAGAATAAGTGGTAGAAACAAAATAAAGGTAGGCATTAAAAACAAAGGAAAGAAAATCAGACTACATTTGGATGAATTTATTTTTTCTCAGTATTGCCCAGGGATTGCAATCTTGGACCAGTGGGCACATTTGAAAGTTTGAGAGTACATTGTGGGTATGTTACAAAATTATCACCATGTCAGACCCTGGGGGAATGATGTTTTGTTTTGTTTTTTTCAGAATAGCTGCTCCAACAGGCATATCCAATTATATGGATATGCCTGTTGGATTATGTCCTGGAATCCTTTTAGTTCCCATCTCTCAGGATTATTTTGTGGAGAAAAAGCAAGATATAGAGAAAACAGTGAATGGATCAACTAATTAATAGCCTTCAATTAATAAATCAAGGGTACAGAGACCCATAATAGATGTTACCTATATGTTATTCTCTATTTCAGTTGTCCAAGTGATAGAAGTGCATTGTAGAACAAAACCTCACATTTCTATTGTGTTTCACTGATTTATGGATGATAACAGAGAATAGACAAGGAAATCCAAGGCATGGTGGCTTCAACATGATTTCTTTATCCATATTTCATTAAATATTTTTCTTTGACAAGTATAAAGAGTGTTTGTATTTAAAACAAAGATTATACTTCACTGAAAACTAAAAACAATTATTTTCATTTTCAGCATGGCAGATACGCTTAATGTTCCTCCAGACCATACATTTGGAATACTTATTCGGCCTGAAGAATATGGCAAGCATAAAAATAGTTTCTCTTATGTTTTACACCTTTGAAATATTATGTTAACTTTATTTTATTATCTGAAAATCAATGCTCTCTTCTTCTCTGTGATGAGGTTGGTACATCTATTCTAAAATGGGCAAATTTATGTCTTCCAGGACTTTATTTTAATAGTCTTTTGGCATTGGCCATGCTAGGTTAGAATTAATGGAAGGAGCTGAGTGGTTGTTTACCAAATAAAATGTTAAAGGAAATAATTCAAATAATTCAAGGCTCACTTTCATAACCTAAAAATATTTTGTTTCGTGCCTTATCTGCTAGTCTAGAAATTGGAAAAGCAATGGAACATATTGTGCTTCTTAATTTATTGTTCAGTTGCTCCTGTGCAGAGTTCCAAAAATTGATGTTTGCCCATAGAGCTCTGAATTATTTGTGACATGACTAGCTGGAGATATATCTGCCTCCATATGTATATGTTTACATGTTACTATTATTCTCAGAGGCCCTTTTTGTGTGTGATTAATGTATGTTCCTTCTAAAATAAATAGGAAGTAATCAACAACAAAAAATATTTTTTGTGGTGATGGCCTACTTATATTATTTTGGTATAGGATGACCTTATTTTTTCAGGTTTTATTCACCAAGCATTTCAAATATATTCTTCGAATCTCAATACCTGGATAGTATCTTTTTCTTTCTGTTACCCTTACTTTTTTTTGCCTCCTGTCATTTTCTTAGCTTTTTATTACATTTAACTGATTTACTTTGTTGTTATTAGTGAACTCTTTTATGTTCCTTGTACATTTATTAATGGAAGGATGTGATTTAAAAGAGAAACAAGAGATTTAAAATAGAGACAAGAAAACAGCATCATAGTTATTGTCTACCAGTAAAGCCAATCTGGATATATTTGCATTATGGTGCAAATTCACTTTCAGAATAGCATTGTGGAAGTATCACAGAGCAATTAAAAAGTTTTTATAGACTGTATCTCTTATTTAGGTGTTGGGGACCTTCTTCATAACCGGCTTCCAAGTGAATATCTTAAGGGTAAAGACAGAGAACGTGCTGTCTTTACTGCAATTCGACAAAATTTGAAAAAGGCAAATTATCACAATTTTGATACTTTACTGCAAGCATTTCGTCATTATGATAAGGTAACTGATATTATATTAGCATTGTTAATGATGTATGAAGCTTTAGACTCCAGTATTCTAAATCCTGCAGCTAAAAGTAAAATATTTCTATTTATTACTCAGTTGGTAAGGGGTAGTTGCTGATAAAATGATAATCACTATCACCCTATAGCAATGAACTCAAATTCAAAAGGGATAGCACAGACTTCTGAGCTTTGCCTTTGACTTATGGTTTGCTCATGTACAATAATGGGCTAACTACATGAAACATGAATATCACTAGCAAATACTCTCAGAGAGAGGTAATCGAGAAATGTGGGAATGCTGATGTTAATTACATTGGCTTATCCTGTGCTTACATTCTGACCTATTTTAAATTATTTATGGTTATTGTACTTAAACTTTCTGTGAACTAACTATGCAGAACAACTATAGAAAAATTGGTATACAAATTGGTGGTATGCAACATACAAATCTGTTGTTACCCAAATGTTGTTGAACTATAGTACCTAGCATCATTCATGTTTCAGAATGATGGCTGGAATCACAGATTTTTCAACCATCAGCAGATGGATCTCTTCAGTGGTGGAATTCAAAAACTTTTACTACTGGTTCTGTGGGCGTGGCTTGATGGGTGTGGCCATGTGACTGGGTGGGCATGGCTTTTTTTTCAGCCTCCACCTGTTTCTGGGAGCTTCCTAGCCTCAGAGGAGCCTCGCGAGGTGTTTTTGCTTCCCTAAAGCTCCTCTAAGCTCAGGAAAAAAAGGAACAGAGCATGAGAGGGGCACACAGCACCCCTCCAAGCTTTGTTTTGGGAGATTCTTAGCCTCAGAAGAGCCTTGTGGGGGGCATTTTTGCTCCCCTAAGGCTCCTCTGGGGCTCTGGAAGGCAGAAAATGGAGGGGGGACTGAGCTCCTCCCTTCATTTTTTGCCTTCCTAGGCCTCAGCAAGGGGAATCCCGGCATAGCGGATCATATCTACAGCTGATTGTCAGGAGGGAAAAAAAGAAATACCTTAGGTGAATGTCAGGCAGGCGGGTGGGGTGAGCGAGCATCGGACAGGAGGGCGACTAGGTGGGGGGGCAGGGCCAGGCAGAACTTACTACCAGTTCGGTAACCCGCACCAAATTTTTGCTATCAGATCGCCCAATCCGGTGTGAACCGGCTGAATACCACCACTGGATCTCTTCTTAATTCATTTAATGCATTGACTTGTTCGGTGACCTTGTCTAAGATTTGTAAGTGTGTGAAGAAATACCTGTCTGTGATAGTTTATTTTCATACTGTGTAATCAACCAGAGTGGGTATGCACTGTTTTTTGCCAATTAAACAGTTTCTAATTGGATCCAACAATTGAGCCTTCTTTGTGTGGTGCCTGTCCTATAGAATAGCCTGCTCTCTCCTTCCAGAGACCTGTATGACTTCCCTTTGACCTTGTTTAGAGAGTCTTTGAAAACCTGGCTTTTCCCTCAGGCCTTGTGTTAGGATATGTGCAAAAAAAATTTCTGGATATATATTTGTACATCCAGAAGAAAAAAAACATTCAAGCATTGTTCTTTCTTGTTTATTTTGATTCTTGTAATTTTAATGGTGAATGAATGAATATCAGAGTCTGTATGGATCTAGGTAGCTCTTTAATTTTGATTCATCTATCTATCTATCTATCTGTCTGTCTGTCTGTCTGTCTGTCATCTATCTATCTAGAACAGCGGTCACCAACCGGCAGGCTGTGGAAAATTTTTGGTGAGCCGCAGAAGAAATGGACCCCAAAAGCAATTAATCTGGCCCATGAAGTTCTCGCGCCTCCCGGCTCTCCAAAGGACCCCAAAGTCAAGTCCCTGAGATGCACATGCCAACCACCTCCCACACACAGTGGCGTTGGCAACCACAATCCCGTCCCCCAGTGCCCACTGTCAGCTCTTCCCCATTAGTTCTCTACCTTTGAATTGCTCCCGGCTCTCTTTCCTCCCCGCTCCGCCCCCTGCCCACATGCAGGCAGCCAAGGAAAGGGAGACAGAGCTGTGCACAGCTCTCAGCTCTTCCAGCCCTTGCTGCCTCTCCCAACATCTAATCCTCGGAGATGCAGGCAAAGCCGCCGCAGTGGTAGCACCCTGAGTTGCCTTAGCATGCTTGGTTAGTTAAGAATTGCCCTACCCAGAGAAGGAGGTGCTGGAGGAGGAGGAGGCAGTAGAGGAGAAGCAAGCATCTCTGAGGCTTCGATGTTGGGAGAGGCAGCAAGAGCTGGAAGAGCTGAGAGCTCCACATGGCTCTGTCTCCCTTTCCTTGCCTTTCTGCACATGGGGGGAGGGGGAGGAAAGAGAGAGAGCTGGGAGCAATTCAAAGCTACAGAACTAATGGGAAAGAGCTGACAGGTGCTGGGGGAGGGGACTGTTTTTGCCGCTGCCGCCATGTGTGGCGTGTGCATCTCAGGGACCTGACTCTGGGGTCCCTCGGAGAGCCGGGAGGTGCAAGAACTGCAAGTGGGAGCGTTTGTTGATTTCGAAGAACTCCTGAAACACGGTAGATTGGCGTTTTGTAGGTCTCAGTGAAAGAGTGAGTTTGTTTCGCCTCCTTTCCTGTCCTGGTAATACAAGAGATGCTTTCTCTCCCCCCCTCCCCCACCCCCAAATAATCACTGGCTGTGGCTGGGTTTGGCAGCGAAGGGCTAAAGTGAATGAAGTGCCCCCAGGGACACCTTTCCTTGCCTGTCTCCAGGTGAGCTGGAAGAGCCACCCCCTAGCTTTTCCTAGGCTGCAGATCTGAGTCTCTCAATCCTCCCACCCAGGATTTAAAAGAAGCTCCCACTTTCTCCCCCTCCCCTCCCCCAATTAATCACCAAGAGCAGCAGTCCTTCTGCAGCCAGATGCCTGCTGAGAAGCCCCTGGAGTGGCAGCCAAGAGCCACTGCCCCCCAAGGAGAGCAAAGCCCCCTTTCTGCCTCTGCTTCTCCCAGAGGCGGTTGCCCTGAGGCCCCTCAGCTCAGACACACACACACACACACACACACACACACACACACACACCGCCCACTCTTTTGTCTATTTGGAAGGTGCCAGGTGGGGGGAGGCTTCCAGTCCAGAACATTTTATTTTATCATTAAGCATTTACATTTTTGTTATAATTAAATAAGTAAGAGTGTATGTATGTGTGTGTGTGTATCATGTATGTATGTGTGTATAGGTACATAGGTATATAGGTATATAGGTGTGTGTGTGTGTGTGTGTGTGTGTGTGTGTGTGTGTGT